TATATACATCAGATTTGTGAATTGATGTTCAAGTATCTGTCAGTGTAAAGGTCACAATTTATTAGACAGGCCGAGACCTTTTTAAAAAAAACGCTGAGGAGTAAAGTCCCTGATACACAGTTGACTAGTTGCTATGGGCAGCAAATTAAATAAATGTTCTCTATAACTAGACAACCAGGACATATAATTGATTCTATATTGTCCACAAAGGGTTAACAGCACTCTCTCAACCCTGCAGCAGTGCCTGTACCTGCTCTCAATAGTAGTCTATGTCGGCCCTCTCTGTGCAGCAAGTAGTTTCTTCCTTCTGAGAGCCAAGCCTCGTTCTGAGGCTACTCTAGAGATCACATGACATTCCTCCAGGAGGCAAGCCTCACTCTGAAACTTTACTCACTGATATCTTACCGGAAAGGTTTACTCAGAGTAAACCTTTCAGGGAGAAAATTCCTCTCTCGCGGACTTCAGGGAACCGCTTTCTAATAGAGGGAGACTCCCTGAACATCAGAACAAAATAATCAGTGGGTTTGAAGGATTAGTGCACTTAGTCTGTATGGCCCTTTGTACCTGATGTTACCCACCCTCCCACTCCACAGATGCATACTTACCTGGGTCTGAGGCTGTGGGCTCCGGTGTTTGTTTACTTCCTGGCTGCTCCGGCGCATTACATCCCTATAGACTTCTATGGGTGGGTTAAGTTAGCTCTGGATAAAGGGGACAAACAGGTAAGTGCACTTTGTCCTAAAGTACACTTATCCTTTAGCGCTTATTTACATGGATGCACACATCCGTACAGCATGCACGTCTGTGTAGAAGCCTGCGCCCGGGAGTGACAGCTGGTGCCTGCAGCCGACTGTACAGCTCAATGACAGGACACGGCTGCACACCAGCCCAAGCTTGTACATCTGTACAGGTACAAATGCATGCCCCTGGACACAGACAGTCTACACAATTACCCAACCTATTGCTCTGATACTTTGTAAAGGCACGATTGCGGCCGCGCATGTGCAAAGAGCCAAGCGCGAGAATTGCGGCAAACTGCACATGCACGAGAATCGCGGGAAGGCGCACAGGAAGTGAGGTAGCTGTCTTAAATTCTATGACTATTTAAGGAGGAGCCATTTTCCCTTTCATTGCTGATGGTCTTGTCAGCTTGGTGCCTGTGACCTGTGTTTATCACTATGTCTTGCTTTGACTTGGATTGCCCTGGATTATGCTTCTGCTTGCTGCCAGCCCCTGACCCCGGGCCTGTTCCCTGGATTTGCTATTGCCTTCTGAATCTGTACTTCGCTGCCTGACTGGTATTGACCCTTGGCTTGCTGACCTCTCTACGAAGTTGTTCCTGCACGGTGTCTGTTTCCAGCCTCTGGCACTCGTGCTCCTCGTTGCCCTGCACTCTCCTGTTCCCAACTCCAGGGGTCGCAGGACACGAATCGCAAGAGACGCCTCCCCGTCTTCCGGTCTCAGCCTCAGGTACGTGATATACTCCCTGCATATATTTTCTAACAAATTACCAAATAAATAAAAAAATAATAATTTGTTCTATACTGCCACATAGCTTAGGCTAGTCTGTATGCCTTGTAGAGGGCTGACAACACTGCTGCATTGTTGGCCCTCTGATCCCAAGCTTCTAATCCCATAGAACACTGATGTTATTCCACCACTGTCCATACCCCTGAGGCCCCTGTTACATATGCGTTCCGTCCATACATTTTTGACCCGTGATTACACAGATCAAGTATGCACTGCAATGTATCCTTATGGGCAGCAAGATGGAAATGGATGTGTGTTTGTTTAGATCTGTGTCCATTCAGATTCCCCAAACCGAATGCAATAAGATTGTGTCCAGGACCTGAATGGATGTAAATGTATTATTGGTATTTATATAACGCCGACACTTTACGGCAGCGCTTAAATGGACACACATCTGTTTACATCCGGCCGCCCCTAGGGATTGGATTACATGGCTTATATCACAAGATGTAGGTAAAAGCAGAACGGAATCGCACGGGAAACAGATGTCACATATCACATCTGTTCTGATCCAACTCAGAAGGGATCAGTCTATGGATCGCCTGCTGAGAGCGAATAGAGGGCACTCTGTGGAAGGGGCCTAAATCAGAGGTGGGCGCATATCTGTGGCTGTCCGTGTCTTGCAGTGCCTCATGGGATTTGCAGTTGCACCATAGCCGGAGGGCTGGAGTTTGCCCACCCCTGGCCTAGATGCATTGTTGGCAGGGAGAGAGTTCATGCCCACCAGTGGAAATGAAAGGGAATTGAGCTAGAGCTATGCGGTCACGTCACTGCATAAAACAACGTAGAAAGAAAACTATTTTAGATGGTGATTTATTCAAAAATGTATGCAGTGAGTATCAGAATAATGGGAAGGCAACATTTAGTAGGTGGGTTACTGTGTAGCCTTTCCTTCCACTTAAAGTGAACATCCTGGTGCTTTAAAAATGGCTAAAAAATTCTGTGCTAAAAGGTGCCTGCCATTCTTATCTATAGAAGATTAGGGGGTGTGCTGTAGTATAGAAATCAAAAGATATGACTGCATGAGTCATGCTGAAGTTTTGTAAGTGTGAGCTCAAAGCTCCAAAACACTCAACAACAAAAATCTCATGTAATAAATTGCACCTCTTCACATATGGACACTCAGGCAGCTGGAGCTCAACGGCTGGAGCTCAGAAAGGTACGTGAGCTGCTTTTGAAGCAGATTGGGGTGTTTTTGGCTCCATGCAATGACACTAGACTCAGGAGTTAAATCTTAAAAATGCATTCAAGTACCCTAACTACTAACAGAAATGTATCTTATTTGTGAATCACTCAGCTGTAGATCCTCAAATATCTCAGAATTGGTGCTGATACTGTCCTTCCTTCTGGAAGGTGCCTACTTTTGTTCCCCGTGGTCCCTGTGTTTTGTAAAGTGGCCACCAGTGGCGTCACAATGGGGGTGCGGCCCACACCCGGGTGACACCATTGGAGGGGTGACCGACTGACAGTCATTTTGGTGTCACCTCCCTCTGAAAAGTCGGGCGCTCGGTCATGGACCGAACGCCTGACAGTCTCAGGAGAGAGAGGAGGGGACCGGGCGGCATACCTTATCCCGCCAGGTGACTGTCCCCTCCTCTCTCTGCCGGCGACCATCACCAAGATGGCCGCCGGCAGGTATCAGAAGATCGTCGCGCGTGCGCGATGACGTCATCGTGCACTCGCGGGGTGACACCCGGTAACCGCTCCGGGTGTCACCCAGCCTCGGGACGCCCCTGGCTACCACCACTACAAGCTCGCTCCCGTGATGGACTGTAATCTCAATACAAATTAGTAAACTAAACATGAGATTGTAGTCCATCACAGGAGTGAGCTTGGAGCGGTGACTACTTTACAACATACACAGGGACCATGGGGAACAAAAGTAGCCACCCTCCAGAAGGAAGGACGGTGCCAGCACCAATTCAAAGATGATTTGAGGATCTACAGCCGAGTGATACAGAGATAAGATACATTTTTGTTAATAGGTAGGGTACTTGAATGTATTTTTAAGATTTAGCTCCTGAGTTTAGCCCCCATTCACACCAGGGCGTTTCCTCACGTTTTTTTCTGCACTGAAGCGCATGCAAATCAAAATCTCATATATTCCTATGGGGGCGGTTCATGCAAACGCGCTAAATCACGCGTAACAATACGTCCCTTGTTTAAAATAGTCCGTGAGCTTCTTTTGTGACGCTTAAATGCATGTAATGACTCGCTGCCCGGCTTCCTGGTACCGGAAGTATCAGGTTAGGCATCGGAGCATTTGGGCGAGTACAAGAACTCGCCCAAATACTCAGCTTCGGCACCGATACCGATACTAGTATCAGTATTGGTAAATCCCAACTTTTTATGAATCCTCCCTAATGAGTCTGAAAAACAAATGATAGAAGCTGATTGGCAATGGCACCAGCTAAGCCTGCATTCACACCTAGGCCTTAGTTCGCCTAGCGTATTGTGCTTGCGCTTTTTTACACACATGAAGACGCACGTCTTGGCTGGCAGACCAAAGACATTGCGGTCAATGGGGAAACGCGTGCAAAAATATGCAAAAAGCTTTTGTCGTGCGTTTGACATGCTTTTCCATTGAAGTCTATGGAACCAAACGCACTGCTAACCACCCCAAAGTAACTCAGAGACTTTTTTTAAGCAAGAGGCGTTTTGCAGCTTGCGGGAAAACGACTAGGTGTGAATGGAGGCCATTGAAATGAATGGGAATGTATGTACTGTGTGAATGGGGCCTCAGATATAACTAGTCTCAGACGCTTTTTAATGAATTTCCCCAATTTCCCCAAGGGCTGGTGCAGACCGGGACGCACATCCTGGGACCACACGATTGTGTGCAGTTGCACACAGCGGTTCTTGCGCTGCCCCATTGATTTCAATGGGGTTACATCCGCGCGGCAATCGCAGAAAAAAGGTACATGTACCCTATTTTGCGACACATAGCTTTTTTTTAGCCGCAATCGTTCTCGATTGCACCGGTGGAATCGTGCACGATCCGCTCGATGTGACTGGGGTGGCATTAGATAATAATGGCACATCCGGCACGATCAGCAGTGGTGGGCGATTCCGTGACCGTGCGGCACAGTCAGCGATCGCCGTAGCGTGAACCTGGATTATGTGTGGAAAACTATTGATAGCAGCTGATTCGTTGCCACAGACAACAGTTCCAGCTGAGCTAGAACTTGTCTCAGATGCTTTGGAATTGATTCCCCCCAGTAAGTTTGGCATAGCAGTAGAAGCTGATTGGTTGCTATGTGCAACGGGCCACGGCACCAGCTGAGCTAGAACTTGTCTCAGACACTTTTTAATGACCCCCCTGAATGAGTGTGAAAAAGTTTCGAAGCTAAGGCTTCCTATTCATAGTAGAGTGTGAACACAAGGCGACCCTAACTCCCCACATCGCACACATTCATCTCATACAGCTCTGATGAGGAGGAGGGACCAGGAGCGCCCACCAGCACAAGGATGATCCCTCCTCGCCAGCTCACTCTATGGTTCAGGAGGCCAGCGTACAGCCGTTCGCCTGTCTCTCGGGGGGGAGTCCCGTGTAATGGTCGCGCTCTGCACACGCTGTAGGAGCCGAAGCACAGAAGCCGCTGAGAGCAGTCCTCCGCTTTCCTCTGTCCTCCCCTCCAGACTGCTGCGCTGATGGTATGTCCCAGAGAGGCTGGACCAGCTAGCTGCACGAAGTAAGAGGCTGCTGTGACTGTGAGCGGGGCTGGATGTGGAGGAGCTGCAGCTGCTGGGAGAGGAGAGCCAGGCATTGCTAGTAAACAAGAGGAAAACTCCGAGCTGCAGGTAAACTCATGGTGATGGGGCTAGGCAGGCTCTGTGTAACAGACTTAGCTGCTCCATGGCTGCTGGGGTACAACTTACTCTCTGAGTTGTAGATGTTTCAAGAGTTTATAGGTAGGCTTCATCCCAGGGGCTGCTCAGGTTGGGTCCACTTTGCCTAGCTTGCTTAGACTTTTTTCAGGCTATGGGCTAGTCCTTGATTAGTAAACTGTGTCCATTTAGTGGGATCTACTATAGGAGGCAGGAAGGAGGGGGGAAGGGGCTCATTGGGAAATGATCAAGGGCGTGGATAATGTAACCTGAAGCCTGAATTAACCCAACCACAAGAAAAGAGAAGGGAAAAGGCAAGGATGACAAATGTTTTCCTAGGCGAGCAAATCTCCGGTGGAGAACCACATTAGAAACGTGTTGGTCTGCGATAGTCCTTCTGTTATGTTGCCATGTCTGAATATTCTTCCTGATTTGTCTCCGTAGGTTTGCCCGAAGTAAACAGTAAAGAAAGTGAGAAGCGTACCAGCACCTGGAGGAGCCTAGAAGTATTTATGTGTGTTCTGCGCTTCAGCAACTGGCACTGACACACACAAGACTTTCCCTACTACGTTCTGCTTGTCCTTTCATCCTGCCTGTTGCAGCCGGATTTGCAATTCAGGAATTAAAGGAGGAAAAGAAAAAAGCCTGAAAGACAAAGCCCCCCTACCAGGGGCACCCTGGGTTTAAAAGCTAACAGATCTGCTGCCAGGGGACATGATCTTCTCTGATATTCCCTGTCTCTCAGGACTCGGAAGGAGGGGTCCTGGATTAGGGGGATATGGCGAAAGTATGAAAGGTTCACTATTGATAGTGCTGACCCTCCTGTATGGCTTGGGTTGTGTGTGGTCTCAATCTGAACAGCAATGCCCAGCTTTCTGCGAGTGCTCAGAGGCAGCCCGGACTGTCAAATGTGTGAACAAGAATCTAACTGAGGTGCCCAAAAATCTACCTTCTTATGTAACGAACCTGTTTATCACTCGAAACAATATTGACAGCCTGCAGGAAGGGACATTTAACCAGCCTCTGCCAGACCTCTCTAGTCTCAGCTTCAGCAGCAACCACCTCCAAGAACTGGGAAACAATGTCTTTGAAAATCTACCCAGTCTGAGGCAACTGGATCTTAGCAACAATGAGCTGGAGAACGTAAGCCATCTACTTTTCCAGGTTGGTCCAAGTCTCAGCAGCCCACTCCTAGAGTTGAACCTTAGCAACTCTTTATGCAATTTTTCTATGATCACCTTAATGGCAGGTGCCCTGCAGTATGGAAGGCTGAGTAACCTACAGAAGCTGGATATGAGCGGAAACAACCTATTGTATGTACCTGATGGCATATTCAGTTCAATGCCAAATCTAAAACACCTTGACCTGAGTAACAATTCCCTACTGACATTCCAAGATGGGGTTTTTGCCAATCTCAGTCATCTACAAACTTTGGATTTGAGGCAAAACTCTTTGAAGCATCTGAAGAACACAACACTACTTGAGTTCTCCAGCCATCCAAGCCTATCGGTCCTCCTCACAGATAATAGCTGGGTCTGCGATTGCAATATTGAACCTCTTTCCAGGTGGCTAAAGGAGACCACAGTAGTGAAGAACACATCCAGCGTGGTTTGTTCCTATCCTGAGAATATGAGAGACATGGAAGTGATTGCTCTCAACATTCCAGAGCTTGATTGTCCACCCTATATTACTGACAACAGTTTACAAACATCCTATGTGTTCCTGGGCCTAGTGCTGGCACTTATAGGAGTGATCTTCCTGCTAGTTTTATATTTGAACAGAAAAGGTATTAAAAAGTGGATATACAACATCAGAGATGCATGTAGGGATCACCTGGAGGGCTATCACTACAGGTATGAAATCAACGCAGATCCCAGGCTAACAAACTTAAGCACAAAC